TTGCCCAACCTTCCTTCCGAGGAGTGGCTGGTGGGTTTGAACCGCCAGCTGTCTGGTTAGCAGGCAAGTGTCTTAGCCACTATACTACCAGAACTCCCTTATGAGAAGTTATTTACTTACTTACCTACTTACTTAACTAATATGTAGAGAACACTTACAATTTGCTTTGAGTATGTAGCGAAGAAAAACATAATCTCTGCCCTCAAGGAGGTTACAGTCTGGGGGAAATGTGAACATTAAGTAAGTACACAAATAAATACATAATTATAAATTCTGAGAAAGGTTATAAATAAAAAGCACAGGGGTTCCTAATTTAAATAGGGAGGGGCTGTCTTAAAAAGGGACATTCACACTGAGACCAAAAGGGTGAGTCAGAGCTACCCAGAAAAGAATGAAAGAAGGAAAAAAAAAAAAAAAAAGGAGGGCCTTGGGGCAGGAGAGAGTTTGGTGATAGGAGGGGACAGAAAGCACCCACTGAGCCTGAGTCCAGGCAGCAAGGGGAAGAGGGGCAAGAGGTAACAGGGCCACATCATCTGGGCCATTTAGGCCACATAAAAGAATTAGGATTTTATCTGAGGTGCAGCAGGAAGCCATTGACCATCTTTAAACTGGCAGGGATGCAATCCAACTGATTTTTAAATGAAAGTTATAGTTTTCTCCTCATAATAATACTAATAGCTAATATTTATTATTGAGCGTTTACTAAGTGCACCTCTCCAAGGAGCTCTGGTGGTACAGCGGTTAAGGCGTTTAGCTGTTAACCAAAAGGTTGTTGATTTGAACCCATCAGCCACTCTGTGGAAAAAAGACGGGCAATCTGCTTCCGTAAAGATTTATAGCCTTGGGAACCCAATGTGGGTCGCTATGAGCTGGAGTCGACTTGATGGCTGAGAGTTTGTGTTTTGGTTTTGGAGGCACCTCTCCAAGAATTTTACCTGTATTGACTCATTTAATTCTAATAATACTATGAGTTATGTACTTTTATAATTTTATTTTACATTTACAGAGGAGGAAACTGAAGTACAGAGTGTTAAGGGCCTAGGGTCATACAACATCACAAGAACCAGAACCAGGATTTGAATTCAGGCAGTCTAAATCCACATGCTTTGGAGTCAGAAAATACACCACACATACACACACACACACACACACACACACACAGAGAGCAATCCATTTTAGGGAGTTCACAGCTGCAATGCCCCTGTGGATTCTAGGGTCCATGACCCTAGATTTCAAACTCCAGGTCAGAAAGCCACATCTTCTTGTTTTCTAGACATGTGGACAATTAGATGAGCAGGATGGGGGAA